GCTCAAACCTGTGGCCCCCTGCCAGCGTCCCAGAGCGCAGGATGCTGCGTGTGAGCCACCTGCCCGGCCTCCAGGAGGTTAAACCCCTTGCGCAGTCTCACAGTAGAGCGTGACAGGGAGGGGCTGAGCCCAGCTGTCACCACCAGCAGTCGCTCTTGCTGGACACCACTCCTCCCGGACCCCAGGCTCGGCTCCTGGGACAGGCAGCTGCACTCCACACCTCACTGCCCGCCCCGCCCACAGGCGGCAGGCGCTCAGGGCCTGAAGCCTGCGGTGGGCCAGCCCTTACTCGCTCCGGGCTTGTGGCAAGGACTGCGGCCTGGTTCGAGCGTGCCCAGGCAAAGCCTGGAGTTCCAAGCCCTACTCCTCCCACTCTCCTTGACTCCTGCTCTGCCTCAGTGGAGCCAGCGGGTGCCCAGCAGCCCAGTCGGGATGCAAGTGGGCCCCAGCCAGGCCCCTGCCGCTCTCCACAATCGGGGCCACTATCCGGCCATCACAGCCTGGCCTCCCTCCTCTCACAGGAGCAGGACACGCCTGACCCCACGCTCCTCTGGCTGGGTTCTCGGGAAGGTAGCACCTGAGAGCCGGTGTAGCTCGGGGGCCCAGGGTAGCAAGTGGGACAGGACAGGACAGGCAGACGTGGGTGCTGAGTTGTGTCACCTCGAGGCCATGGGCCCAGTGCCTGGAGCTCAGAGGTGAGGAGCTGAGTGCTGGTCACCAGGCATGGCCCAGGGCTCCCGGTGCAAACAGATGGGGTCGAGGTCCCCAGGCAGAGACTCGCATTGGTTCTGACATCCAGCAAGGGAGGGGACAGCAGGCGCCCGGCCAGTAGGCGGCCGAGTCCTTGCTGGACACCGGGGCTGCAGGGGTGCCCTCCGACAGGGCCCCAGACATGACCCTCACACCCTAGCCTTCCAGGCAGGAGCAGCCGAGCAGCCGAGACCCCGGATCCCCGGCCGTGCCATCGAGCCACAGCCAGGCCTGGGGTCAGCCTGGGTCTGCATCTTCCAGGAGTCACCATCAGAAACAGAGATGACTGCCTGGGACCCTCGAGGGACAGTGGGCTGGGGACAGTGGAGGGGAGGGTGGGGGGCCACGCTGTTGCCCCAGGAAGCGACCTACTGGCTCCCCTTGGCTGCCGCGTGAGTGTGAGTGTGTGGAGTGAGACGTCTCCCTCCCTGCCTCCCTCCCTGTCTCTCTGGGCTACCAGGCTCTGAGGTGTCACCCTAACCCCCTGCACTTCAGGAAGGGGCTGGGGTGCCACCAAACGCTCAGTGGAGGGGCAGGGCGTGTGTCCAGGTGGCATGTTTCACCCGTGTAGGAGCAGACGGGCCCGGCTCGACCACTGCCCTGCGCCCCACAGACCCCTCAGGCGGGGCCGGCCCCAGTGGCCCCACCCTTTGCCCCAGGACTGCGCCCATGGGAGACACAGCCTCCTCCTCCATCAGGGAGCTATTTCTAAGGACGTGCCCCTCGATTCCAGTTCCCATTCCAGCCCGAGAGCTGAATCAGAGCCTTTCTTCTCTCTCAGGCTCCCTTCTCTGTTATTGTATGAAACCATTTCGGCCCTTGAGGAGTCGGCATCTGACACCTGCAGCTACTGAATCCCAGGAACAGAAAAGGGAAGGAATAAATAGGAGGGAGGGAAAGAAATGTTCTGTTTCTGCTTCAGCAACATGAGTTGGCAGAGAGTTAAATGGCAACAAAATATCTGGTGTTAACCTTTAATATTCCCAAATCTTATCAGCTCCTCCTTTCCTCCCAGAACTGCTTTCTCTGGGATTCCGGCCTCTCACAAGACATCACAACTTCTATTATGCTCCAAAAAGGCCCCACCAGAGCGGGATTCTTGGTGATTGGGCTGCCAGAGAACAGAAGGAAGCTGCTCCTTGCTATTTACAGGAAAAAGGCTGCAAGCGGGAGCCATGGGTTCCCCTCCAAACAGACCCACCTGAGCTTAGCTGCATGTGATCTCGCCCTTATGGGGCTGGCACGTGACAAACAGCAAGCGACAAAGACGGCACCAGAAGGTGGACGTGCGCTTGTTCCCAGCAAGACAAGGTGAGGCACAGGCATGGCCGAGGTGACGGGGCTGTCAGGCAGATGGCAGGGCTCTTCCGCTCAGCTTCCCACGCGGCTTCCCATGCAACTCTGGAGACCAGGACTCTGCCTGGGAGCTCACCGGGGATACCGTGGAGGAGGCCAAGCAGGCCGAGAGCAGAGCCAGCCAAGGGTGTGTGGCCGGTGAAGCCCGGACTCCAGGTGCCAGAGGGCCGAGGGCCGCAGCATCTGTCCACCTGCTCCTTCCAGGCCTTGGCCACAGGCACTGGCAGCAGGGCTACAGGGGCTGCATTGGAAGTCTGGGCTCCGGCAAGGTCCCCACGGCAAACACCAGCGACCGGAGTCACTGCTGTTGGGGGTGACAGCTTCCAAAGAAAGAGCAGGAACCGGAGCTTACCAGGAGCGCACACCGTCTCTTCAGACCGCTCCTGGGTTTCCGGGCACCAAGGCCTCGGGGTCTTGGCCCCAGAACCAGGTCACAGGATTAGTAGAGACAGGGTTCCTAGCGTGTGGTTTGAGGGTCCTGCCTCACACAGGGGCTCTACAGGACTTCGTGAGGCCGAGCGGCATTTTCTCCCTGCGGGACCTGTGGACCTGAGTGTGCAAAACAGAACAGGAGAGGGGACAGGTGAGTTATCCCACCCCGTCTTCTGCCAGCTCCCCTCTGCCATCTGTCTCCTCCCAAAACATGGATCTTGGGCAGAATTCTTACTGTCACATATCCTGTCTAGTCACAGGTCTCCCTCGGGGCTCCAGGACGCCCAGGCTTGGATCTTGTTCAGAACTATGCCACTAGCTGATCAAGAGTCCTTCCTGGGCCAGGGATTTAGCCCAGTGGTTCCGATGCCTGCCTCGCAAGCTCAAGGACCCCAGTTCTTGCTACACGAGAGTCCTTCCTATGTGTTTGGATGAGTGTCATCCATGCCCAGTGTAGAACCTGCCTTGGCCGCCCGTTGCCCGGGCACGGAGGCCGAAGCCCTTCCTGTGCCAGCCAAGGCCTTTCCTATTTCTTGCCCCCATTCTGCCCATGCTAGCCGCCTTCCCAGTCCTCACGGCCCGGGGCCCTTGTGGCCCAGTGTCACCTTTTCACTCCTCTTTCGTCTGCCTCCAATGCTCTCCCTCCCTTCCCCCTGTGAAGTGGCCGCACACCCTCGAGACCCCATCAAGTACTGCCCTCTGTGACCTCCCCTGCCTGCTCTGAGAGGATCCTGAGAGCAAAGGACCCGGGGCGGGGTGGCTACAGAGGAACCAGCACCCCTTCCAAACATACGGGTATTTCCAAAACATAAAGGCGAGCAGGCAGCCGGTATGGACAACATCCATAATTGGTTTGGTCTGCCTCATACACTTGACAGTCTGGAGTGTTTGGGGTTTGTTTGTTTGTCTGAACTAATGAAGCTTAGAGGAAGAAGTCCCGTGAACATTTGGGGCTCTAATCCTTAGTTTCGTCAGTGCTCTACTCCAGGCAATAAAATCACGTATTCAGTCAGCGCCCTGCGCCCAGCATCAAGCCCGGGCCAGGAGGCAGACAGAAACTTGGCCCAGGCCCTGCCCTCCAGGCCGTCACCTGGCTGCACAGGGACAGGACCGCAGAGGACGCGCAGCGGTTCCCCTTGGCACTGTGGGGTCCTGGAAGGCGCTCTCTGCTGGGAGGGAGGAGCCAGAGCGAAGCATGGGGTCAGCGCTTCTCCCTGGGCGGGCCGGTGGGCGGGGCGGACCACCCAGGAGGAGCAGGCCTGGACTGGGCTCTGCCTCTGCCGGAAGCTGCCGCCCACGCCACCTCGCCCACCTGGGCCTCCTCCCAGTGTTGCTCGCTACCGCTGAGCTGCCCAGAAAGCCACGTGAGGCCGCCGGCTACGCTTGGCTGGAAACCGGACTTGGGATTCTTCCAAACCAGCTCAGCTCCTCTCCGGTTTTCCCTCAAGATGCAGGGCGGCTATTAAAACAAACAGCAGGGCTCTCTGCATCCATGGCCCTCATTAATTCCCATGATTAACCCGACCGGGCCAGGACGGAATGAGCCCCGATGAATGCTTTCATGCCAGCCTCCACTCCTGAGCCTGCGCTGCCCGCTCCCGCTCCCTGAGGCCACCGTGCAGGGTCACAGGGAGGGGACGCGGAGGCCGAGTCCTCAGGAGCCCCAGTGCACAGGTGGGCATGAGGGTGCCAAGCCTGCCATGCTGGAGCTGCGGACATTCTGGGGTCAAATCTGTGCCCCATCATCACTCGTCAGGCCCTCTTTCTAGGATCCAGGCCTCCCGTTTGGGAGAGCCAGCTGTCACCTGCGCCTCCCCTCAGGAGATCATATCCCAGCTTCCATCAGAAATACTCATGCAGTGGGCACAGACCTGAACCGCACTGCTTCTGCAGGTTGGGGAAGGATCTTCCCAAGTCACCTAGTGATGTTATCACACTGGGTCCCCAAAAGCAGACACAGAGAGCTGTCAAGAGCAAGCCGCTCACTTTGGGGAAGAGGGAGTGGGGAAGTTGGACAGGAAAGGGCGAGCGGCCAATTAGGGTTCACTGCTGACCGTGGGCCCCATGCGTCACCAGAGCCCAGCCCGCCGGGGGACAGGACGTGGCGGGCACAGGCCCACGCTGCCCTCAGAGGAGCTGGGGTGTCCTGGACAGCTCCCACAGTCTCTGATGGGGGTGAGCAGGGGAGCGTCAGTGCCCCGGCGTATGCAGCCTCTCACACACACACGGGTCGTCGCCTTCGGGGACCAGTGCGGCCTCCCAGAAGAGAAGCACAGGCTCTGGGGCTGCAAGTGGGGGCCGCCACAGGCCCGGGCTGGGTGCCGGCCGGGCTGACACAGAGCCACAGCGGGAACCGTGAGTAACATCCACAGACTCCTCGCCAGCGGGAAAGGGCAGGGCCCTTGTTACCCAGCCAGGGACAGTGGTCTGCAGAAATCCAGGGACTTATCCACAGTGGCACAGCGGCTCCCACTCCTTGATGCAAAACTCCAAACTTTTATGACTCGAGCACTTGGCCAAATGGGGAAACTGGAAACAAAAACACAGGACATGGGATAGACACGGAGACTGGAGGGCAGATCTCAGCTACTGTTTATTGAGCAGTGATTATCTGCCTCACCGTGGTATAAGGTTTTTTCGTGAATTTCTGTCACGAAATCTTCACAGTCCTCCAAGAGGTGACAGTATTGTTTATCCACCTCACAGAGGCAGGTGCTGAGACACAAAGCATTTAAGAATCAAGCCCAAGGCCACAGAGGTGGGAGTGGTGCCCATCCTGTAGTCCAGCTCCAGGACCTAAGCCTCACCTGTCCTCTGTTCCTAAACACTTTGTCCACAGCTCTGCGACTTGAAGGCTACTAGCTCTTCCCAGCTACTGCACAATTCCTAGAATCTCCTAACATCACAAAGAGGCTGAGGGCAGATGAGGAAGGAGCTAAGGACTCCAGAGCCATCAGCTGTCCACCTCGGTGGAAACAGCAAAACCATGGGCAGACAGGGCTTTGGGGCCTCTGGCCCTGGGTGTGACTCTGGGCTCTCCATTCAGTCAGGTCCCCATGATGTGAAGGGCAGCTGCCTGCCAGACACCAGGCTCTGGAGTTTATAAATGGTAAGAACGGAGGAGACAGACCATCCTGTTGCCTGCTGTGAAGAAGCTGATCCACTCTCAGAATTAGCCCATCTGAAACCCAGAGCTGCTAAGTGTGGTCACCAGCGCCATGCCTGACACCCAGTGGCACTCACTGGGCAGTGGCTCTCCTGGCTGTCCCTCTACTCTTTGCCCTCTTTTGAACCCAACCTTCTTGCTAACAACCCAGGCAGAAAGGTAAATAGAAGCAGAGGCTTGAGCGATTCCAACTTTGTTTCCCAGGTAAGGGAAGGGAAACTCTAAAACACGTAGTGTATTTTTCCTCCATGGCATCTGGCTGATGAGTCATGGATCCCCTGTGTCCTGGGTCTAAGAAGCCCCAGATCTGAGCTGCTCAATACAGCAGCCACTGACCACTGGGGGCCACTGGGCCCTGGGGACATGGGCAGTCCAAATGAAATGTGCTGCAGATGTAAGACATTCAAGATTCTAAAGATCTGGTGTGAAAGTAAAAATTATAAAATTTCATTAATAATTTCCATGTTGTTTGAATGTTAAAATTGTAGTATTCGGGGCATAGTGAGCTAAATAAAATATATTCTTATAAATTTCAACTGTTTCTTTTTACTCTTTAAGATATGGCTGCTAGACTCTAAATTTATGTATGTGATTTTTATTATATTTTTGTTGGAGGTGCTTTTCTAGAAGTTCCTATGAGAACTCTTGGTCTCTACCCCACACAGAGGGGCTCCTCCCTTGCCTCCCTCATCTGAGTCAGTGTCCCTAGATTGTGGACACAAACACTCATGGTCCTACAGCTTCTAGTCAGCTTTGTAGTGCCTAATTCCTGTATTGCAATGGGTAACCAAGAACCACAGACATTTGAAGAAAGAATAAAAAGACCAAAGTGAACAAGAAAAAGAAAAGAAAAAAGGAACTGGAAAGATGAAGCAGAGAAAATGCAAGAAGCAAAAAAAAAAAAACATTTAAAACCCCTGCAAGCAAAATTCTCATAAAGAGGAGAGAAGATATTACATCTGTGAAACAGCATAATGTAACACTATGGAAAAGGAATACACAGCAGATAGAGTGCCTAGGAGCTAAAAACCTAATAGCTAAAAATCTTAAATTCAACAGAAGGTTTAGAAGGAAGTAAAACAAGAAGGCATAGAATTCATGGACAGAAGAGCAAGGATAAGGTATCAAAGCCTTGTGCCATGTCTGTGAAAACTGCTTTACTGTGATTCAGAAACAAATCATCACCACTGCAGCACAGCCTTGTATGCACAGCTGTGCAGACACAGTGACAGTGTTTGTTATGTGATGTGCGCTGTTAGAGTTCTCCAGAGAAACAGAGCCAGCAGGCTACACAGAGGTAAGTGAGAGAACGTCCACCTTGGGGATTGGCTCACACAGTCACAGAGTGAGCGTGGGAGTCCCAGGGTATGCTGTACAAGCTGCAGACCCAGGGGAACCATTCAGTGTAGGTCTGGGGGAGACAAGCGTGTTACTCCCAGTACAAGGCCAGGGGCCTGAGGACTGGGGTGGGAGTGATGGGGAGAGGGTGCTTGTCCAAGTCTTGGAGTGCAGAGCTCTGATCCTGAGGATAGGAGAGATGTGCATATCAGCTCACAAAGAAAGAGTGAGGGTTCACTTTCCTTGTCTTTTTTGGTCTATCAGGACACTCAGATTGTATGATGCCTGCCTGCATTGGTGAGGTCAGATATTCCTTATTGTCTACTGATTCAAGAGCTAATTTCCAGAAATCACTTTCACAGACACACCTGAAAGAAATGTTTTACCAGCTAACTGAATATCCCTCAGCCTATTCAAATAGGCACATAAAGTTACCCATTACACATGCGGACTGGATTTACCTATTTTATTCCAGTCTATTCTATTTTTTTTTAAATACTCATTACAACCTGCTAAATTTTTTTTATCTGTCTGATATGAGAAAAATTCTGATCTAAAAGATGTAATACTTAACTCTTTGGAACTTCAGGTGAAAGAATGGGGGGAAATTAGCAAATAAACAATACAGTTTTTTTAAAAAAATTAGAGGACTGACATCTCCCAAGTTCCACTGTGGGCCTCAGAGAATTATTTTTTAAAAATTCACATGAAGGTACTTCATCATCAAATATCAGGGCATCAGAGCTAAAGAGAGTCTTTTAAATTCCAGAAAGACCAAAAATAAATAAATAAAGTAACATAAACACTATACAAAGACACTAAGAATTACATCAGACATTGTAACCGCAATTATGAATGCTAAAAAGCAATGGAATTACAGCTCAGTTCTGGGGTGAATTTAATTTCAAACTGGGGTTCCATTTCTGAACAGTCAATCAAGTATGAGGACAGAAAAAAGACAAAGCCCATACAATGACCCAAAAACATATGTTCCATGCGTCCTTTCTTAGGAAGCTACTGGAGGATGTATTTTAACCAAAGGAAAACATAAACCAGAAATAGGAGGAGCAGGAGATAAATCAGAGGACTCGGTAAGAGCAAAACCTTGAAAAACAGGCCAGTACCAACCTGAGGAAAAAACAGGGCAGATGGGAGCAGAAAAAAAGCCTCTATCTGGAGGATTCTCTGATCATGAGGAAAGATAGATTTTACATATCTGAGACAAAGGTTGACAAAACATGGAAAGATCTTTAGGAGTACTGGGCATGGATGAAAGATGGCAGAAATGCCCTGCATACACAGTAAGTCAAGGGGGAAAGTGAGGCCCTTTCTCAAGCATGGGACATAATTGTACTACACTGCTTGATTCAACTATGAGCAACCTTTCAGCCTTAAAAATGTAAACACAGACATTGAACCAAAAGTTGTGATGTTACTATATCAAGAAGGTGGGGAGGGACAATGTAAGTGGTGGTAGGGTGTCACTCTAGATGAAGTTAATAAATACCATACAAGTTGACAGATTAAAAAATAACCTGCAATGCTACTTCTAATAAAATACACATATTATTTAGAGGAAGGAAAGAAGAGGTGAAAGTTCTTGTTTCAAGCCATTTGAGGGCAAACTGGGAGGAGAGAATGCCTATGTTACATTTTAAACCTTACAATCCCATTTGATTTTTTTTAAGCTATTAGTTTTTTTTAATATGCTGAATTAATTTTTGAGAAAATTTAGTTTCTTTAAAAAGAAGAGCCACAGAAAATTAGGAAATATTTTTGTTGAATCTCTTCAAACTGTCCATCTAATAAGAAATAAGTGCTTCTTTTATGTAAAACTGTTACTATTAGGAAATCAGTCTCTCACCTCCACACAAACACTGAATAGTTCATGAAGATGACTTAGCTTGGCATGGTGCACACACCTGTGATCCCAGCACTCTGGGTGGCTGAGACAGGAGGATTGCAAGTTTGAGCCCAGCCCAGGCAGCTTAGTAAGAATTTGTCTCAAAATTCTTTTTCAAAAAGGGGATTGGAGATGTAGCTCAGTGCAGCTCATCCTGTGTGTTTGGCCTCCCTCATTCCTGGCGTATGGACTGCATGGTCCTGGACACAGGGGCTCGGGAGCGTCCACATTGGTGGGAGCCCATCTCCAACACACGGAGGTCCTGAGGATGGTGTCAAAACCCACTAAAGGGAAAAGATCTCCCCAAGGTTACTCAAAAGCCAAATAGACTTTCATCTCTGGGAAAATAAAATAATATTTAGAAGCAAGGGGCTCATAAATCTCAAGTGATTTATCGCATAATAAGACGGGTGCTTGGATGAGGTGGGACAGACTCTGTGTGAGCCAGGAGCCCTTAAAATTGCTCCTCCTTCCCCCAGTATGCAGGTTTCCAATCAGGGCCCAGGTAACAAAGGAGCCCGGTGCATGACTCAGCCTCCCCAGCCCATCCCTGAGTTCTCATGGAGGGGTGCAGTGTGCGTGTGCAGTGCACCTCAGAGTGCACCCTGAGAGGTGGGTCTGCAGGAGCCCTGTGCCCCCGAGTGGGTAAGGGGCGATGTGGCTTCATCTCAGTTCCGAAGCACCCTCTCTGCCTCCTAGCTTGTCCTTTCCCTCAACTTTGCCAAAGTTCAGGCCACAGGACCTTATGGCTGTGTCTAGATGTCCCCCAAAGCCACGTGCAGTCAGAGGGGGCACTTTTCAGAGATGGCTGAATCTAGCATTTATGCTGCTGGGATCAAGGGCGTGATGCTGGGTTCGAATCATGGTGCAATGCTAAGATTAAGGGTGCGAGTGCCACCCGTTCTAAGGGTTGGTAGCCTGGATAAGATAGAAAGGACAGAGAGACCTGTGGTCATCCCTTGCTGCTTGCTGCCTTCTGCCTGCCATGGACTGTTTCTCCTCTGTCAGGCAACCCTACCTTGGAGCCAGCTGACTATACACTGAAAGCTCTACACAGTGTGAGCCAAATAAACCTTTCCTCCTTTGACTTTGGATGTCAGGTATTTTGTCTCAGCAACGAGAAAAGTGACCAAGACACTGAGTAAATCTCTATGTGCGTCACTGCACTATCACTCCTCACCAGGTGGCTGCCTCCTGGGTGTGTAATGAGGCCAGGCAGACCCCCTTCTGCACACAAATTCACCTGACCCCTAAACTACCCAGCAGCACAGGCAGGGCATTGTTTAGAAGACTGGGGCACAGAGAAGTGAGTATCTTTCCTGAGCACACAGAGCCAATAACCATTTGAGGAGAAGCTCTGCTATTTCCACCAAGGCTTTCCCCACAAAAGGGATAAAACCAGTCATAGTAAATACACATCACATGATCATGCAATCAGTACACAGCAGAAACAAGCAAAGGTAGAAATTAGATCAGGAAATACAGGCTGGAGCGCCAACAAAGTCCCGCACTGGAGCTATTATCTAAGGCATTGTAGCAACCTACACAAAAAAGGAAAGAAGACTATTCATGAAGCTATGGTGTAAATAGTGAGTCAAAGCTGAAATCTCAAGTTAAAAGCCAAGCAACATCACAGGGCTTGGGCTTTGTGCTCATCCCAAGAAGCACCAGTCAAGCCAGCCTGAGGGGCACCTGGTCCGCCAGCTAAGGGCTCTGGGAGACAGCTCCAGATTCAGAGTCAAGGTTTCTTACTGCAGGCTCCAGGAGGCACCATGCATCTGGCAATGGCAGCGACTGCCCCGTTAGCGAATCAGTCCCAGTCTTCAGAGAGGTGAGGAGCCCGGGCCCAGTGCGCCATGGAGAACCCCCAAACCTGCACCTGGGTCTCAGCCTTGTCTCAGTGATGCAGGCTGTTCCTCTGCAGGTGGAGCTAATCCCTCTAACCCAAGCTGCTCAGAAAAGCCAAGGCAGGTGGTTAGGCAGCTTTCACCGTGTGTAGAGGATTCTCATGGGCAGCAGTGATTGGCACCTGCTGTTTGTACGTTCCCAGCAACTGTCCTCTTCCTTTGCTAATCAAACTCAGTTTCCTTTCAGGCTCAGCTGGGTCGAGACATCCCCAGCCCGCAGGGCTGAGACAGAGCTTGGCTTAGATGAGGCTCTGAGTCTTGAGGGTGCTGGGACTTCAAGTGGGTGATGCAGAGCTGTGCATCGGATGGGCAGGCCCCAGAGAAGACTGCTTCATGGGTTTTAGGGTTCTCCTGGTCGGTCATCGTTCTCTCATGATTCCATCCACATCATCCCAATGAATTCCTTTTTAAAATGTAGTCTTTTCCAAGTAGGAAAGCAGCCAAGAGATGGAGGGAGGAGGAGGAGGGAGGGGAGGGACATAAAGAGAATCGGGTGTGCTCTGTTCGTGTACCCAAGCCCCACATGAATGGAATCACTACGTACTGCAAACGTGCGCTCTCAAAAAATTTTTAAAATAAAATTTAAAGTAAAATAATTTTAGGGTTTAAATTCTAAAAGGAAAAAAGTGAAGCTACACTGGCAGGTGTCAATGTCTGCTGCATACTGGCAAAAAGAAAAAGGAGTGGATGAAGGAGAGAGTCTTTTCCACCGTCTCTCAGTACAGGCCAAGGGCAGTAATCAGATCCGGGTCTACCAGAAGCCCTGGGGAGTTTCTTTGATTCCCACAGGGAAAGCTGTCCAGGCAATGCCTGTGCCCATGCTGGGCTAAGAATCCCCCCTCCTCGAGGACGCCCTGTGCCACAGGGAGGTGGTGCCAGTGAGACCTGGGAGGGCATGGTGCTGGGGGACACCCAAAGCACGAGAAGCCCTCACCCCAGGGTTGTGGCCCAAGCTTGCCAGAGCAGTCAGGGTTCCTTGCCACTCTCCATCAGCAGAAGGCAAAGTCGCCAGAAGAACGGACAGCATTATTAGACTCATCTAGGCACTCTGCCGGGGGACTGTCACCCTCAGAGCAGGACAGCAGAGCCGGCCATCGCCTGCAGACCCCTCTCTCACAAGCCGTGGTCACGCTGGGGAGCAGCTGTCTCTGTGTGCCCTGTGGCTCGGGTGGGGACAGAGGCCTGCAGACGTCCACACCCCGGCACCCCGGAGGCACCACTCCCTGAAGTTCCCGCCCACTCTGACGAAGCTGCGCAGTGTCCCTCCCGGCCTCGGCCTCCCGGTCACAGGCCGGCGCCTTGCCAGGGCTCCACTGTCTCTCCACACTCCGAGGCTTCCTCCCCCACCTCTGGGTCCCCCCCAGGCACCCCACCCCACGGAGCTCCAGATCCTCCCGTCACCTTGGGCGCCAAGCCGCAGAGCCCCGGGGCCGTCACCTCCCTGGGGCGGAGGGAGGGGCTGCTCCAGGCCCAGTGGTGGCGCCAGGCCACTACCCCCACCGGGTGAGCAGAGCGGAACCACACTCACTCAGGACTGCTTCCCGGCGTGATGGGGCGGACGGGAGAGGAACCCTGAAAGGCAAAGCCCCTGCCCTGCCCTCGAGAGGGAAACGGGGAAGGCATGGAGAGCGAGAAGGCTGTAGGGCACCAGCCCGGCGTGGGGACAGCTGGGTGAACGGTAACCAAGGCCAAGCGGCCTGGGAAGTCCATCTTCACTCACTTGGGCTGCGGCCTGAGGCTGCTACAGAGCTGCGGCCACGGACAGAGCAGGGCACGAACGTGGCATCTTCACCCACCTCTGAGAAGGCGAGCAGGAAGGAGAGAGGAGCAGAGAGAAGCCTCAGGGGTCACAGCTGTCCACTCCTCAGTCCTTGCCCAGGGAACACAGCCAGGAGCGCGTGAGTCACCCTGGCCCTAGGTGGCCCGTGGCAGCTTCTCCACTTTCCATCACCCATGCACCTTCTCTGCACAGCTGGGCAGGTTGCACACTGCTCAACTTCATGCCCTCGTCAGAAACCTTTCTCCACCAGCCCCTGTCCCAGCAATCTGCGGCAATTGGGGTGTCCGAGCCTCTTCAAGTCCTTGGCCCCAGTGACGGGAACAGGAGGAGGGCCCTTCTGAGCAGTGATTTGGTCCTGCAGGCAGAGCCCTTACAAGCAGGACTGGCACCCTAAGCAGCCTGAGAGAGCTTGCTGTCCACTTCCTGTCCCACGTGAAGACAGGGAAGCTCTTCAGCTCACTTGGCCTGGACGAGCCTCGGCAGGCTCTCCAAGGCATCTCCTAGAAGAGTCACCTCGCCGCCCTGAGAAGGAAAACCCATAGGTGTCATGGTGCAGGGGACCCAGAAGCATCAGGGACCCGAGGGACTGAGTGCAGGGCAGCTCCATCTGCTGTGCCACTGGGCAGAGAGGGACAGCTGCTGCTGTTGGGGAGTAGAGGCCCAGGGTCCAAAACACCCCACGATGCACTGGACAGCCCAACCACAGAGAGCGAGCCCCGAAATGCCCACAGAGAGCCCAGGGCACAGGAATAGAGGCCCTGCGCAAACTGAGCATCCTGAGCTGCTCCCCTGCTCCTTGTGACCCAAGCCCAACTCACGTGCAAAGTCGAATCCGGATGGCTGGTCTCTGTCCCGGAGGTACAGGCAGCTCGGCCCTTCTGGGTCAGTACACATCTGGCTAGAGCTCTCGGGTCGTTCTAACACACAACCCCCCGCAATGCGCGAACACCCAGGGACCCTGACAGTGTGGAGATGGTGGCAGATGTGTCCCGCAATGCTCAGTGCGCCCACAAGCTGGTCTGGGGCTTCTTAGCCATGGAGTCTGTGTGACTGACCAGGGAGGAAGGGGCCATGCCGTGCCTGAGCCTTTGGAAATGTTGTCTGTGTTCGCCTGTAAGCAAATCGCAGCCATAATTTCACTAGACTGGTCATATTAAACATATCTAAATACCCAAACAACTGCTCCTTTCAAAGTGGTCACCGTGGGAGGCTGTACACTTATTCTAACAAGTCTTCCCTGGTTCAAAATATATTTCTACATCATCCTTTGGAATTGCCTTCCAGGTCAACTTAGAACAACAAAAGAAAAAACAACTCATGATTTCAGAGTTGTATACCTTATTTATGTTCCAAAATGGTAGTTCTCCATTTGAAAAAAAACCACTACAATTTGCCAGAGTTATCTCTGAGCTAATCTGGGACATTTCTAGACATGAAATACACTCCCAGAAAACCAGAGTTGGCAAGATATTTGTCTTCAGAAACCACCTTTTATAAGGGATTTGGGTTACTGCGTGGAATAAGCTTGTGCCGAGGTTGGGGTGGGATCGGAACCTTCCCTCGCTCGGGGCACACTCGCTCAGGGCACACTCGCATGGGCACACTCACTCGGGGCACACTCGCTCCCTCGGTCTGTGTCAGTCTGGGCCGTGCTCCGGGTGACCTTGGTATGCAAAGGATATTTTCACGGTGACACTGCTTCTGTTTCTTACAGAGCTGTGTGCCGTCGCATGCCCCGCGCTAGCAGTGGGGACACAGAGATAAATGAAACCGTCCTGAAGGCTCCTGCTCTGGTGAAAGAAGCAGACCGAGGACAGATGATTATGGCCCGGAGGGCGTTCCAGTTCTCAACCAAGGGGCTCAGGCGCTGGCCCACGGGGACAGACCCGGAGCCCTGGGGGCTTCTGGGGGAACGGCCCCTTAGCGGCTGTGGCCGACCCCGGAGGCCCGCGGCAGGGCTGGGGCTGGCATGCGGGGTGGGTCACATCTCTGCAGCTGAAGCCCAGGGCACTCAGCTACCCACCGGCGTGAGGGCGGCGCCGCGTGGGAGTGGCCGGGGGCCCGGGGAGGGGCATTTGCCGTCTGAGGCCGGGTGCCCCACCCCTCGCTGTTCAGCCATGGCCACTGCGTCCCGTCCCCACCCCGGGCTCTGAGCCGGCGACATCCCGCCTCGTGCTCTCTCTGCTCCCTGCCATCCACCTACCCAGCTGTGCCCGGAGAGCAGGCCCAGCGCCGCCTGCGGGGCCCGGCTGGGCAGAGGTGGGGGTGGTGCCGGAGCCTCTGCCCTCTCCACGGAGCTGGGCCCAGACCCTGCGCCCGCTTCTCCTCTCCCGCTCCTCAGAAATCACGGCCTTCGCCCTAATCTCAGGCTCTCTTCAGAGCAATGCAAACGGGACAGCAGCCACCGCGCAGCGGCCGCAGCAGGACCCTGAGACCCACGGCCTGGGCTCTGCGAGCAGCCCCCCGCAGGCACTGAAGGTGCTGGAAAGCGAAGCCCGGCTCCCTTGAGCCCTTGCCTCTCCGACTCCCAGGACCTGGCTCCCCACGGGCGCCAGCCTCCTCTGGAGAGCCGCCCCCAGGGCCCCCACAGGAAGCACGGCCGGAAGCGGCCTCCGCAGTGTCTGCGAAGCCCCCCGGGGACCCTGCTGCACTCACGCTTTCCTGGGCTCCTGTTTTCCTCCAGTCAGGTTTTCGCACTGTGACCTTTCCCTTCCGTGTTCTCTGGACTGTTCGTCCTCTCAGCGGCCCCGCGGCCCCCCCGACTTTGTCCTCCAGGGCCGATTCCTATCACCTGTTGTGCCCCAGGCCTTCCCCACTCAGACCACATCCCGAAGGCCACGCCACTCACCCACGGCCCACTCGTCCGCAGCCCGGCCCGCATCCTGCCAGAGCCCTTCTGGCCAACGAAGCAGGGGTTCGAATGCCATCTGGAGAGGACACCCAGAAAGGCCCACCTCCACCTCCCCGTGCTGAGGTCACCGAGATGCACCTGCTGCGGCCCCTAGGAAAGTGGCACTCAGGAGACCCCTCGGGTGTGCAGACATGGGGGCCGACACTGTCACCCTGGGAAGTGAGACAGACGCCAAGGAGAAGGGCGACGTCTCTCCCTTCCAGGCTTACGACGAAACTCCCTCCTCCGGGACCAGGGCAGCATCAGCAGCACCCAACACACGAGACTGAGGCCATGAGGCCAGGAGGCTGGTGCGGGCTCCCTGGAGACCGGAGGAAGAGGGACGAGGCCCGGGGGAGCGGACACCCAGGGCCTCCTCCCAAGCAGGGAGTTGGAGAGCCCTAAAGTGTGTGCTCGGGTTGGAAAGAGTCCATGCAACAAGCAGCCCACCCAACATCACCGGGACAAACACGACAAGGACGGTGGAAAAGGAGGTAGCTCAGCACAACACCAAAGCGGAGGGTTGGTCGGTCGGTCGCTCGGTCGGTCGGTCAAGACTGCTGCATACCGTTCTGACCAGAGAGGGTAGTGCTGTCTGCACGGGCCTTGGACCACACCAGCTCTGACCATGCTGCCACCAAGAAAGGACAGCAGAGACACAAACAGTTCCCTAGGAAGTCGTGCTCCTCCCGTGTCAGGATGACTGACAATTCCAGGAGGGAGCGCGGGTCCAGCTGGAGCCCAGGTGACGCATGAGGGCCCAGGAGGAGCGAAGCACTGTGTCGATGACCCCAGCACCTCCTTCCTCTGCTTCCCAGCTGAGCTGAGGCTGGAGCACCGGTGACAGCTGCTGACAGACCAAACCAGCCCCACTGCTCCCGTGGCCACTCGAAGTCAGGTTGGAGAAGGGGCTGTGGACACAGGAAGGCTGTGCTCGGTCTACCACTTCTGGATTTATGATCCTGTGCTCTTGTCTGTACATAAACCTGAACAGCACTGTGAGGCCAACTTAGTTTAGTGAAATACAGTGAGCAGCTCAGCTGGGAGCAGAGAGGGGGGAAGAGGGCTGCTCCCCAACCAGCCTCAGAACCCTCGTCCTGCGCGCCTGGGCTCTGTCTGTCGCCCGTGGAGCTGAGACTGTGCCTCAGGCAGGAAACCCGGGGTGAAAGGGCACCTCTCACTCCATCTCGAGACTCCTCTGTGACTGTCCTACCCCAAAACAATGCCTTTTTTTATGCTCCAGAAGCCACTGGAATGGGGGAAGCCACCCCTGGCCTGCAAGTGATTCCAGGGTGTCGCGTCCCCCAGAAGTTCCTGGGTGGTGTGGGAAGCTGAGGAGCAGAACCGTCACAAAGTGGGGCCGGTGGAAGGTGGCTCGGTCACAGGGCTCCGCCCTCCGGAGAAGGGAGCCGGTCTCCCGGAGTGGACGAGTTCCCGCAAGGACGGGCTGCTGGGTAGGAGCCGCGGACTCCTGCGGCCCCGCCTGCTCCCCTGCCCTGCGCAGTGTGCGTCAGGTTCCCTCGCCCTTCCTCTGCGCGTTGCAGTGCAGCCGGGGCCCTCCCGGGGGGGCTGCAGTCCCAAGCTGGAGACCTCCAGCCACCAGCAGTGTGAGCCGGTGGGCCTTCACGCAGTGCTCAGCCTCGGTGACTGCACCATGTGATCACAGCAGGAAGGAGACCAAGCCCACCCCCTCCGTGTCCCCACCTCCGTGCAGCCAGTCATACAAGGCGCTTGGCCCAGACCGGTACTAATGAAATCCAGACTCCTCCCGCCTTCGAGTTTCCACACAACAAATTATAATTCTCTGCAAATACAAGATTTCCAACAATAAAATCAACCTTCTGTTATGGCCTAAGAGAAAGTAAAAACCTAAAATGAAATTTCCTCCATTTTGCTACTTACAGAAATCAATTTTGCAAAATGTCCTTTCCAGACTTTTTCTCTACTGAGCCCTGAGCCCAGGAACCCGGGGGGGATCTCGGCTTCTTGCTGAGCGCTCTTCCCACGTCTCCAAGCTGAGTCTCTCAAGAGCTCCCCTTCCTGAGATCCAAGGTGACCGCACACCAGGTAGCCGAGCCCAGGCTCCAAGCACAGAGCCACCTGCACCCCCAGGGTGAGCCTGTGAGCACTGCTCTCCGCTCACAGGCAGGCACCTTTTGCCAGGTCGTCCCTCCTCAAAACCCTCGAGTCTCCACCGCCCGAAAGCCCGGACTCCGAACTGGGTCACGCCGCATCCCAGCGTCCCAGCGTCCGGGCTGCCCAGCCTGGCCAAGCTCTCGGCTCCACCCCCACATGCCACTCATACCATTGCTCCCGCCAGTCGCCCCTCCGGCTGCCGTGCATCCCAACTCAGTGCCACCCTTAGCATGCACTTCCCTGGCCACCCCCATCCCCTCCTGAGCTCCCGACCACAGCCTGTGCAGCTCCCATGCCACCGCTTCCTCTGGGCTCCCTCGTGGCAAAGACCCAAACCGCCTTCCACTCGGCCTCCGCGAGAGCCCACATACAAAAGGAGCTGGCCGTCGGAAAGTCTCACCCACGAGGGTCTGGCTTCACATTAGCCAGCCTTAGGTTGCAAAGAGCAGAATGCACCCTAGCCAGGCTAAGCAGGAGTGAATTATGACCAGGTGTTTTCAGCTCACAGAATCATTAGAGGCATTCGACAAACGACTCTGAAAAGTTGGAAAGGAAAAGATGAGCCAGTGAAAGAGCTGCTGCTTCTCCTAAGTCAGGGGTCCCCCGGAGACTGAGCCATGCCATCTGTGCCACAGCCTTGCCTCGCGTCCACAGCGCCACAGGGAGCCTGCCCTGCCCACACGCTGCCTCTGGACATCCTCAAAGACAGCCGCTGGAACCAGCAGAAATGTCTCCACACGCAGGCCTGGCACCAGGAGGAGCAGATCTAGGCCTCTGCTCACCTCAGCCTCTCCTCACTAGGGGAGCAACCCCCAAGTCTAAAAGCTTCCAGAACTTGATGCACAAGGGAGCCTGGGAAACGTAGTTCTGCCCTCCTGGACCTCACAGGAATAGGGAGGGCCTCCCAAGGGTCAGCCCTCTGCCTTCGCTACAGACCTGCACACTGCAGACAGCTCAGCGTCCTCTGACCTCATCCACGCGCGTGAGCTCGCCTGGCGCCTGGAATTCTGCTGGTGATCATCCCACAGCTCACCGCCTGTGGCAGCAACAGACACGCCAGTGTTTCCCAAGCTCCCTGCAGAAGTTACCACAGACTCCCCACTTGTCCAGATTGTTTTAGGATCATGTTATTTAAAATGTGGAGACATAAAAACAGCTGTAAAATCCTCATGGTTACAAAATCTTTTCTTAAAAAACTATAAAAATTAATTTCCAAATTAAACACAAGCAAAACTCTCAAACACATGGAGTTAAAACTAACATTTCTTTAGCATGATTAACGATGTTGTTTTGTTCACAGTGAATCACCATTGTCGGGCCTAATAGTAGGAAAATTCATTTGCACGTTTTACATTTCACGTGTTAACAGCCCGATGCTTTTGATTTGGAGCAAGACGGCCCATCGTTTCCGTGGCTGTCAGTATCATTATCATCTTTTTTTCCTTCTTAACAATGAACTCATTTTTAACTGCTGATTTTAATGGGCCAATCAATTTAATGGTGCACTCCAAAATAGAGAGTTGAGAAATTTAAAGCAGCATTTAATGAAAACTTCTCGGTGGGTAATTGCTAATACCCTCGCTGCTAACGAACTGTGGATGGCTGGTGAGTGTAGGTCCGGAAGTCTGACCACCCTGGGTGATGACTCAGGTCTCCCCTCGGCCTGCCTGCCCCAACTACCGGGGACCCTTTGTCTCTGTTTGCTTGCATTTTGCTTGGCACCAACATGCTCAGGAACACGAATGTGAGCAGGACGGTGCTCAGTTAGGACGACACCTCCGAAGGGACCTCTCCCTGCAAGCCAACAAGGACAAGACAGGAAACCCGGGGCGAGGGGGAATGTGCAAAGAGATGAACAGATGGAAAGTGTGGAGGGAGGGTGGCCAGCAAGCTGAGAGCAGAGGGACCCGGCAACGGCCAACTCAAGTATCGATGTGACACTGCCACTTTACAGCCATGAAACTGGTGAAATTTAAAAGTCAGGCGGTGCCGAAATCTCCATCCTGTAAGGGGCAAGCACTTGGGAAAAGACCCTTACTGTGCTAATGAGGACAGGGGGCTGGTTGCAGTCACAGGGAGCAAGCCAACGTTACCCTGGAAGTCAGCGGCCCAGGAGCTGACAGGAGTAGCAGGAGCAGCCCATGGCCAGTAGACCCTGCAGAGCTCACAGGGTCCTTGAAGGACTCTGTCCATGAGAAGACCTTTTTCTGCAACATTTTAGTTTTGAGCAGGGATTTTGTGGTAACTGTCCAGCATTAGAACAATGGTCAAGCAAAATATCATACTGGTCAGTATAGAATGCACGGGGGACATGGGAGTGATGGACCAGGGTTCATACAGCAGCACTGACAAATCTATAAAGCGCTGTGTTATCACAGAAGTTAGGAGGAGAGCCCTATTCCGTGACTATCCTAAAAGCAGAACACATCCATACACAAAGATACCTTGTGTTTCCCAAGAGTAGACCCAGTTCAAGACACATACCAAACACATCACAAAGGAGATACAGAAAGAAGACCTGAGAAAAGCACATAAAGAATGGAGAAAAGGCAAAAAATAAAAATGCCACAAAACAAAACAAAAGGAACTCTGCAGGGACTTCTACTGATAACAGAGGTAAGTGATGAACTCCACTCTCTCTAGAAGTCCATAAAAGAAAACTAAATGTATGGACTGGACTGTGACACACCTGGGAAGCAGAATCAGTGTTTGGTGACGAGTTGTATGTGGAGATAAGATAAAAGGATGCACCTACAAAGCCCATCCTAGCGTCTGAATCACTGAGGTGACTCTCCCGAGCTGACCTGCAGAAGGAGAAGGTGGGAGAAGACTTGCCTTGGGGCGGGGGGGGAGACCTGAGTTTTAATTGAGGACCTGAGAGTCATCCAAGCAGAATCATGGTGCCAGATTTGGACAGGTGGCTCAGGACCTCAGAAGAGAGGTCTGGGCTAGTTTATTGCTCGATTAACAGGCAAAGTTACAATGATCTAACAAAACAGTTCCAAATGCAACGCTTTATAAAATGCACTGCGGTATGACGGCTCCTCGAGGTCATCCAGGGGCACGGGCAGGTCTCATCTTCCCACCACCACCTCAGGTGCCCTCACTGGAGGTGGCAGTTATCACATCCTAGCACAGGACAAGGAGGGAAAGGAGGGGGCAAGGCAAGTGGCCTGGGCTGAGTCCGAGGTTAACCCAAAGCAGCAGCCACATCTGGCTGGCTCCAAGTCAGGCGCCCTCCACAGCTAGCCACCCCCATCACCAGGGGCCCTGGAGTTCAGTGGCTGCAGCTCTGTGAATACAGAAGGAAGAGAGCAGGTGTGGGGCTGCCTGGAAGTCTACATGCTGGCAGCTAAGACTCATGGGAACAAAAGACGAGGACACAGAGACAGCTTGGAAGGAGGGACCGAAGGCAGGGCTCCCATGCTAATCACATGTAAGCAGACTGGAAATCAGGCAGGCGAGGGGAAGCCGCAGCACCAGCAGAGGCCCGGGAAACCCTCACTGGAGACAGAAAGGCACAGAGAGGCCTCGGCCCCACGCCACTCCCACGCTGTCCCCAGCATCCCCAGCGGACGTGGCCCTGTGTACCCACAAGGGTGACCTGCCCATGACTCACCGGCCTGGCTTCCTGCTGCGCTAGGCTCACCCTGGGATCCACTCAAGCCTGGGATCTGGTTTATGGGCCCAGACCACAAGACCCCGCCAGGCACTCTGCGAGCGCAGCCGTCATTCTCTCGCCAGACGCCACCCTCCCTCCCCAGGGCTCGGCAAGGACCTGGATTTATTAGGAAACTGGGAGCCGCGTCTCCAGGTTGCCGCCAGTCCTGCTGGCTCTCGCCATGACAGATCACACTGCTCCCAAATTTAATGCCCCACCAAGGATGACAAGAACTGAAAGAAGAAGTCCACCTCCCTTGCCACTGCACTCCTACGAAAATAAATAAAATCTGCATATCTGATGGCAGGGTCGGGAGATGTTTTATTTCCATGCATTTGCACTGCACCTTTGCCAGCTGAGCCCATGAATCCTTAGTCTTTATCTCACCGCTCCATTAAATGGGGATTAAACTGAGTGATAGTAGCAGAGCTCACACATGTCAGAGGGAGAAGCAGGTGGCACTGAGCAGAGACCAGCCCTCAAGCAACCAGGCTGCTCCCCCACAGACCCAGGGGCAGCACTGCGGGTCTCACTGCAGATCCTGCATTGCCCCTGCCTGCCTGCCTCAGTTTCCCCCCAGGAAAATCCAACCACGGATGTCCAGCATCCCATCCGCTCTTCCCAAAAGAAGCTCTGTTTTCAGGAGCTGCTTCCTGGGGACAAAACAATCGGAGGAAGGTGGCGTTTTGAGGTGAACTTGGTGCTTTAGCACTGACTCACCTCTGAAACGGCTCAGTATTATAAGTCTTGATTCTTGATGGACAAAGCAAGACAAGAGCGTTGCAGGGAGTGACAAAGGGCCACAGAACAAACCCTACTCCTACCTCTCTTTGTGTTTCAAGAAAACATGTGACGATTCCTCACCTTTGGGAGGCCGAGAGTCCCCAGGACGTTCCCAGCCCCGTCTGCCACACACGGGGAAGGAAGGAGGGTGAAGTGAGGAGCCACAGAGAGAGAGAAGGAGAGGAGACGCGCTCAGCGCCTCCACAGTTCAGGATCCCTTCCCACTCGAGGCCCACAGCCGCCTGAGACCCTGGCCAAGTCACTCGGCCAGGAAGAGGCACACCAGGCTCCATGCTCTGACCAGGGTCTGATGGCTCGGGGCATCATGGGAGAGGCTCCTGCGGGTGAGACCTGAACGGCGAGTGGAAATCCAACCGGGAGGAGAAAAAGAGGTTCAAGGCCCAGAGCAGAGTGAATGCCAAGGCCTACGCCGAGGACAGGCATGGGCTCCCACGCCGCCCTGAGACTGCGGCAAGCTGGAAGGCAGCACCAACAGGGGCCCTGCGCGGGTTTTCTTCAGCCGTGTTTGCCTCCCGCCCCGCTCCGGTTTCCGGGGTAGTGCTTCTCCCTTCCAGCCGACTCTGGGCCCCGAGCTCAGTCCCGGCCTTCTGCCTCCCCCTCTCCTCTCCTCTTCTGA